TATCTCTCTTCTCTTTCTTTCTCTGTCCCTTATCACTCTTCTTTGTCTGTCTGTCTGTCTGTCTCTCTCATCTCTCTTCTCTCTATCTCTCTCCTTGTCTCTCTCGTTCATCTCTCCTCTCTCTCTGTCTCTTTTTCTGTCTCTCACTCGCTATCTCTTTCTCTCTCTCTCTCTCTCTCTCTCTCTCTCTCTCTCTCTTTTTTCTCTTTCTCACTCATCACTCTTCTTTGTCTGTCTGTCTGTCTTTTTCTCTCTCTCTGTGTCTCTCGCTCATCTCTCTTCTCTCTTCTCTTTCTGTCTCTCTTCTCTCTCTGTCTCTTCTCTATATCTCTCTCGTTCTCTCGCTCATCTCTTCCTGTCTCTCTCTCGTTTATCCCTTTTCGCTCTTTTTCTTTCTCTCTTTGTCTGTCTTTTTCACCTATTTTTTCATCTTCCTCTCTCTCTTCTCTTTCTCTTTCCTACTCATCACTCTTCTCTGTCTGTCTGTCTGTCTATTTGTCTGTCTGTCTCTCTCCTTGTGTCTCTCACTCATCTATCTCTTCTCTCATCTCTTTTCTCTTTCTGTCTCTTTCGTTCATCTCTCTATCTCTCTTGCTCATCTCTCTTTTCTCGCTCTCTCTCATCTCTCTTCTCTCTCTGTCTCTCTCGTTCATCTCTCTTCTCTCTATCTCTCTCTCTGTCTCTCTCGTTCATCTCTCTATGTCTCTCTCGCTCATCTCTCTTCTCTCTATCTCTCTCTGTCATCTCTCCTCTCTCTCTGTCTCTTTTTTTGTCTCTCGCTCTCTATCTCATTCTCTCTTTCTCTTTCTCTCTCTCTTCTTTTTCTCTCTCTCACTCATCACTCTTCTCTGTCTGTTTATCTTTGTCTCTGTCTCTGTCTTTTTGTCTCTCGCTCATCTCTCTATCTCTCTCATCTTTTTTCTTTCTCTATCTCTCTCACTCATCTCTCTTCTCTCTTTCTTTCTCTCTGTCTCTCTCGCTCATCTTTCTTTTCTCTCTATCTCTCTCTTTTTCTATGTCTTTCTCTCGATCATCTCTTTTCGCTCTCTTTCTCTATCTCTTTGTCTATCTCTTACTTATCTCTTGTTTCTCTCTGTCTATGTCTCTATCTCTTTCTCTCTCTGTCTCTGTCTCTCTCTCACTCATCACTCTTCTCTCTATCTTTCTCTCTCTATGTCTGTCTGTTTATCTGTCTCTTACTCTTCTCTCTCTCTTTCTCTTTGTGTGTCTGTCTGCCTGTCTGTCTCCTTCTCCCATTGTGTTCACCTTGCTCACTCTCTTCCCTCTCCTCTTCTCTATTTACCGAGCTCTTCACTATAAGAAAATGTACTTTTAGCGACCACTTTGTCTCTCTCTCGCTCATCACTCTATCTCTGTTTCTCTGTCTGTCTGTCTCTATCTCTCTTCTCTATCTGTCTCTTACTCATCTCTCTCTCACCACCCATCTCCTCTACCACATTCACTACTACTACAAATGTCATTCCATTGCCAGCATTATTACCATTGTTGCCACTCCACCTCTACGACTACCATTACTACCACCATCGTCACCACTTCATTACCACTACCACCACTACTACTACTATTACCTCTCCTCTACCACCGCCACTCCATCTCCTCTACCACTACCACAACTTCACCACTAATCTCCTTCGCCATCACCACCACCACCACCACTACCACTATCACCTCTTATCTACCATCTTCACCATTACTGTCGCTCCTTCTCTTCTACCACAAAAAATTAGTTCTTGATTTTTAGTAACCAAAAAAAAAATGGGCCACAAAAAAATATTTTTCATTGACCATAAAAAATTAATTTTATTTTAACGAAAAATATTTTTCATTAAAATATTACCACTACTTCTACCAAATTAAAAAAAAAGATACATTAAACTAAAAATGAAACAAAATTTCCCCCTTTTTTCATTGACCCGCCCGCCCAAACTTAATTTCCTCTCTTTTTTCCCTTTACCTTTCCGTCCATTTTTTCATTTCCTTTTAGGTTTGCAGAGCCCTAAGTTTCGAAACAACACTGTCTCTCTCTCACTCTCACTCTCACTCTCTCTCTCTCTCTCTCATGGAGGCGAGTGACGAGTGGCGAATTTTGGTTTGGACGAGCGGTCAGCAGGACCATGATTCTCGACAAGGGTCCGCTTCTCGAGACCGAGCAAATGTTCTGCGACGCCGGTGAACAGTGATAAGACAATCAGATTCAATCAAAACCCTAAACCTAATGAAGCCAGTTACAGATCTGAAGAACGAACGAACAAAGATTTCAAAATGAGAACGAGGTGTGATACAACTCAACTCATCATTTTTTGTGATTGTTTTGCGGAAGAGCTCTTACCACTATTGCCATTGTTTAAATTATTTGTTTAAGAATCATTTCATTTATTTTTAAGGTTTTATTGAGTATATAATTCATAGATAAATAAATGAGTCTATTTAATAATTATACTATTTTTATTTTATCGTGCATTTTTAAAATAATTTATTTATTATTTTAAAGGCAAACGTTATAAAATAAAAATATTACAGTGTAAATATTCCGTAATGTCAACATTCACACATTAATGTGAACATTTTCATTATAATATATGAATGCTTACAATACCAAATTGCTAAACGTTCAAAAAATATTCTTAAGAATAAAACATCTTAAATATGATAATTACGATTAAGTAAATCAAATGTCCAAATAATAAAAAATTGATCCCTTCCATACACCAATTTTTTAGGCTCATTTTAAGCTCGCAATGATAATCTAAACCGCTCATCTCATAATTCCAACGATTTATACGAGTTATGCAAGAAACTAATTTTATTGGATATTACTAGATGTATGAATAAATTGTTATCTTATTTTTTTGTGCTCCTCAGGAAACAAAAAAATGTTAATACCTGGTGGACATTCTAGGAAACAAGAAACAAAGGGGGCCTGCAGGAGATTTTGATTTATAAAGCTATCAAACATTGCATGCGTTATCGTCAAAGATTCGTAACTGTCACATTCAAATTCAAGATTTTCTAGCTAGAGCTCTCTACTGATTGTGAAATGTACCAAAATAGATACATAGTGATCAAATTAATTGACTAATTTAGCCATACACTAAAAAAGGTGTGTTCATTCTATCTGGAATTGCAAATCCAACCAAGTGTATCAGAATGACCTGTCTGCTAATTAAGATATTCATGCAATTTCTATTGTTTACAACCATATATCATTCACTACATATAAAACATTGAGATCCTGAGAACCTTATTTCTATTTTTAATTATTTTCTTAATTATTACAAAAATAAAAATAAAAAACCTTTCCCCTGTTGCTATTCTAGTGTCACCCACCCACCCACCATCTGAATCCCCAATAGAAAGGCTGCCTGACGCAGCTATGACAAAGCTCAGTCAATGCCCGAGCAGGCTATGCTTCAAAGGCGAGCAGTTTCACCCCCTCGAGTCAATTGATTTCATAGAAAGCCCCGGGATGAAACTTCTTGCAAAGTGCTTCTGCAGCTGCTTGTACTCTTGCTTGATCCTGCAGCCAATCATGGGAAGGTCTTTATCATTCAAAATAACTTACTGTTTTCAAACAATAACTGCTTTTGCAGACAATTTTTCCGAAGAATTAATAAACTAAACTTGATAACTGCATTCTATACTCTCACCACTCACATAACAACTCGAGACTAAATCCAATCAACTCCCATGGCTCAATTTTCAAAATGTTGATTACAAAAGTCATCATTCCTTGAGACTCACATCAACATTTAGATGGAGATTATTACTCTGAGCTGCAACTTGCAACTGTGAAAGAAAAATAAAATAAAACACACGCACACACACCGAACTTTGAATATGTGATGATGCAGAAGATGCAAATCAAAGGTAACAAAATAATATGAACATGACAACCCTCAAGCTCTACACTATTTTCAAAGCACATTGTCATCAGTTAAGAAGAATAGTAATATGAAACAGCTTTGGAGAAGAACATCAGCCACAAATAACTCAAAAACAAAATAGAGAAACTTAATAGCTGAAATCATGACATAAAAAAAATCATACTTTTATCATAGAGAAACTAAACAAACAAAAAATCACTCTATTTTTTACAATGAACGGCAATAGTAGATTTTGAGAATAAACTAAACAATGTATATCATAACAGTTCTAATAAACAGAATTTGCAGCATTAATTTATGCTATAGTGTCAATTTTTTGCTGCAAGAGGCCACCTTTCCTGACCAAGGCAACTTACAAAGTACAGATTCGGCACACCAGGTTCTTCAACTATGCCAACGTTCTTCACATAATAACAAAATCCTAATTTGCACTGAGAGTTTAGGCCACTGCAACAACACATGTGGGAGGTTCACCTATTAACCTTGAAAAACAAATAATATTTTGACATATGATTCGGTGATATAAAAGGGTGAAAAAATAAGTGTGATATAGCAATTCTCAAGAAGGTCATCCAATACACCATTAGTTCATTACAATCTAGACAAAAATTTATAAACATTCAACATCCAACATCCATCAAAAGCACTAAAGAAGAGGGAGGAAAATTAGTTGTCCTATCCTCGCCATGTCCCCGCTGTGTCCCCAAAAAACAAATTAATTAAACACCAGCTGGCATGTCCCATATATGTCTACCGTGTCCCTGTTTTGTTCGACACCACTACGGCACCTGTTTTGGAGTGTAGGTGCTTCATTGTTGTATAGCTTTTGTCAAAAATGAGGGAAAGTAGATGCCCTGATTGTTTTTGAAAGTAGTGCGTGTTGTCCGTTTCTGTTGTTATTGTTTTCTAATGATTTTTTTTTAACCCCAACAGAATGACTTGATCCATGCATGGGGCTTGGATTTCCAGCTTGGTTATTGTGCACAGGAAATTTTCTAATTCCACTTCTCTGTATGACTATCGATTTGTGGACGGTAGTGATATGTTGACCACTTTTTTTACAGGGTGATAGGACAAAAAATGTTGGTGTGGTTGACTGAGTATATAGTTCATTTGGGTCTTCCAACACTTGGTGTTTTAGATGGCACCAAGGTAAGTAATTCTCATGTTTATGTGAGCAATTCATTTCCATAGAAAACTCATACAGTAGATTCTTACAAGTCTTATGATTTGTGCCAATAAATTTTTACATTGAAGTTCCAAAAATTTTCAAAAAATTATAAAATAGAAATGTTCCATTACACCAAGTCTTGCTTCATGAGCTGTCAATGCAAGCATAAGCCTGGCTTTGCTTCAGTAAGTCTACCAAGCCAGCCAGTGGAAGTTTCCCACCCTAGAGCTCAAGATTTTTGAGTCCCATCTATGTTGGGCGGACTAAATTAAAAACAGGAGAGGGGGTTTCCTACATTGCATTGGCATGAGAAGGGCACTTGACATGTTAGGGACCTATCAAAACTGTGCATTTTACATCCATCCTCCTGATGTTTTTCCTTTGTCTTCTCCCCCCTCTTCCGTGGTCGCAATGCTCATTGATTTACTCTGTGTTAGATGACCCAAAAATTTGATAATAGTCTTAATAAAAATAGTAACTGTCCTTTATTTTGGTCTAACGTCGTAGTCCACCCAAGAATTTGACACAAAAAAAATCAGTGTCAAAAGGTGGGAACAAAAAAAAAGTATGTTGTATTAATTCAAAGTGATAATTGATTTGACCTAACCGTCATGCTATTATGCACAACATTAACCTTTTTATCTTTGAGTTGTCAACTAAAACTATTTGTGCTTGTTCATGTAATTGAGTTATAAATCACCAGATCATTTGTCTCGAGCAGAGAATTTTTCAGATTCAGATTGCAGTTTATTCTTTTTATTTTATTTTCTTGTTGAACTGATACTGAGAACTTGTCATCATTGAAATTGCAGGAACCATCTGGCTTGCAAAGAGTTAATAATAGAACTGAAGTAAGTCCCTTGGTTTCACTATAGGAAAGTGTATCTTCTTTCTAGGAGTACTCTGTAGATTCTGTTGGTTCTTTTGATCTGTATGCTCAAACAACACTAAATCATTGAAATTGAAACTGAAGTCATGCACATATATATTATATCATGTGCTTTAAGCTGCAAGGATAGTTGCATCTCAATGGTTTTTGAACTTGGAACATGCTATGTTGGTGGTGTGAAGCAAAGTCCAACGTCACCGTGATACTAAAGTAATGTGAAGTAAAGCGTGAGGGCATTTTCAGCTCAACCCAATGGTATTAGAGTTGGAGTATTCAAGGATGGTTAGTGTGTGTCCCTGGCCTGCATGTGGCAAGTGTTGTCGGGTGAGCACGTTGCAAGTGAGGGAGGGTGTGAAGCAAAGTCCCACATCGCCTTGGTAGCGTGAGGGCACCCCCACCTCAATAACTAACTTTTGAAGTTGAGTTTTACCCAAGACCATGTAACATGAAGATCTTTTTTTTCTTTGTTTAATTATCAAACTAGAAAGAGCATTTTACAAGTTACGCGGAACTAGAGAAAATCTTCGTGGGAATATGTAACAACCCTCACCACTGTTTACTGATAAACTACCGATTACTGCTAAACTGAGACTGATTATGATTGGTAATTGAACTGATTGAAATACTGGACTGACTGATTGGAATCTGAAACTGAATTGATTAAGTATACCTGTCATATTGCATTTCTATCTGTTGCCTGTTTGATTATCTGTTCATGTTTTTATGTTTAAACTGCAAATTGAAGGCCTTATCGGCGGCCGAACCGGAAATTGATTAGTGTTTTACGCTAATTGGGATTTATATGATTTTATGGTGTATTTATCTGAAATTCGATTTGGTATGGTTAAATTAGATTAAATAACATTGTATTACAAAGTACATGTATTTACCAACTTGCCATCCCTGGTGGCCCACTACCTCAACATATTGAGCCTTGTACACACTTAGACAAACATTTTCTTCAGCCATTTTGAGAGTTCTAGCCGACCAAGAGAGAGTGAGAAAGAGAATTGAATTGTTCTAGAGAATTGGCTTGTTAGACTTGAAGTGATTGTAGGAGATTTGCCTAATTGAACTTCTACACTTGTAATTGAAGTCCTAGGTAAGGAATTCAACCTCTTAATTGTGTCTTTAAGTTGATTCTTACATGGTTCATGTCTAATTAAGTAGCCAAGTCATGATTTAGTTCTAACATGTTGAATTATAGCTGAATTCATGCATGCATGCCTATATTATTGAATTTTGAGTTGATTCCGTGGAAAATTGTCACATGCATGCTCATATTTATGTTAAGTCCATGAATTCATCTTGTCTTTGAAGATATTAACTCAATAGAGTATGTATTTGAGGCTTGTAAACTGTTTAACTTCATGCATGTTGCATGTTCATCTTGTTCATGAAAATTGGTTTGAAATTGGATTTATTTGAACTACTTTTGGGCTTTGATTTTTACAATTGAGCATTGAATCATGTTAAACTTTGAGTTTTGAAGTGTTTTCCAGGAAATGGGCCCAAAGGAATCGAATTTGATACATTTGTAGTTGAATTTGAGCTTGAGGTTCAAATATGGGAATTCCAGATTTTGAACTCACGCTCGAGCGGGGTGACTGGCGCTCGAGCGTGGAAATCGTGCTCCCAGCATTTTGTTCTGTTTTTAGGTCAGCTCGAGCGGGGTAATTTACGCTCGAGCGGGACCTTGTGTTTTACGCTCGAGCGGGTGTCGAGCGCCTAATCGAGCGTGAATTTCACCTATCCAACACTTTTGACTGTTTTGAAGTACGCTCGAGTGGTTGAGTCTGTGCTCGAGTGGAAACCTTTGTCTGCATGTCCACTCGAGCGGATTAACCTACGCTCGAGCGGGACCCCTGTTTTCTGAAAATGCTTTTAAAGTACATCTTTGTATCCTCATTTCATCCTAGGCATTCTTAGGCCTAGTTTAAGGCATCTTAATGAGGATATAGATGTAGAACCACGCCGAGGCAAGGTAGGGATTAAATTATTATCTTTCTTAGCTGTGTAGCTTAGTGTGTGTTCTATCTGTAAACTGTGTAAGGTTGGCGACTGGGGACGCGCTCTAGCCTAACTGTAGCCCAGAACTCTGTGAGTAATAACTGTGTAAAGATATGTTCAAAAATGATTATCTTCTGAACAATTGAACTGTACTATTTCTGAATCGATACTGTTAATAGAATGAATGTATGTCCTCTATTCTGAACCGTATTGTGGCATCCTTAGCAACTACTGTTACTGACTGTTACTGTTACAGAGATCTCTGTCGGTTCCCTTGTTGGAACCACTACTGTTTACTGATTGATGGCCATCATTGACTGTTTGGTCTTTCAAGACCTACTATTTACTGTACTGGTATGCTAATGGATGTACCACATATGACTGTACTGACTGAACGACTGAAATACTGATTTAATGAACTGTTTTCATTACTGTAATGACATTCATTCTAAACCTCTTTACGCATTATGTTATTCACTGGGCTTTAGCTCACTGCTCATATATATATGTACGTGTATAGGCACCAGACCGTGACTAGAAGCATCGAGGTAACTCTAGTTTTGTCAAGCCAACCACTGTGCCTCACTGCGAGGTTCCGAGCCTGTCAAGTTATGGCTTAGGGGTGTTTTAATTTTTCCTCCGTCTGTCTCTGTAACTATTTTGTAGACTGTATAGACTGTTACTGTACTGTTTAATAGGGATTAGGTTCCTGGTCTGGATGATTATAAATGTTGTACATACTGTTCTGCACTGTGTATATATATATAAAAAGTCTTTTTGGCATACAGACTGTCACGGCTCATTGGACATTGTTTATTTACTATTTTGGCTTTCGCCATGCCCCTGTACTCTGTTTTACTATATTACTGTTAAGTAGGCCTTCAGTAATCTCGGATTACTGGCCGGTTATGGTGCTAAACCCATAGGGGCGGGTTTGGGCTGTGACAGAATACATGAAATATATCCCTCCAAAAAAACACTAGTCTTGCAATATATTCATTTGCAATAGTCATAATGTTGCCATTGCAAAATATGTTGAGGGAGTGATATTTTTTTATTCTTGTTTCATGGTAAGTATGCTGCATTAGTATCTTGGATTTTTTTCTGGCTTTTTTTTGTGTAAATGAGCACTTTGTTTATTTCAATTTTTTTATTTATAGTAAGGACCGTTACTCTAAAAACTGATGATTTTTCTCCATCACATCCGTTTTCATTCATCTGCATCTGTTCTTTGGGCACCATTGAGTGATGATATGTGTGCAGGTGAGGAGACAGTCCTTTATGGAAATGCAGATTTTCAAGAAAAGATGGAACAATGCAGTGAAGGACGACAAATGTTGGGTCAATCCATATCAACAACCTATTGAGCAGAAAAGCCGTTAGCTTATAATCTATACTACATCTTCTTCAATTAAACAAGGTACAAGGTTTGTGATACTCACACAATCATACCCCACAATAGAATCTTCAATCATTTATGATACATTCAAATTCCCAAACGATATGGAAATTGTTTCGAAGTGGCTTGGATGCAAAGTGGGGTTCACAGTACTTCAACGTTGGTCTTTATGTTTCTTATGGCACAGTCACTGCATTTATTGATCATTTTAGTACAGCTCAACAGTAGATTAAAGGCAAACTTTGCATAACGGCCCAAATGAAAGATCTTAGGTGTTATCTGTTGATCAATGGAAATTATTCAGATTGTATTTGTGTTCAACCAGCAAGGATATATCCCAATTAGATTGAGACACCATTCACAAATCCCATTGTAACAGCTCCAGTAGCACAAAGCAACAATTACAATTTATAACAGCACATGAGGTAAAAACACATTAACCACAAGACCCATCAGCAACTTAGCATCAAACTCTTCACAGCCCTTGACTCCCAAAAACACTTTGCCTTACCTCAATGTAAAATAAGTAGCATAAAAAATATGAGTAGAAGGTAAGTGTTCTAATTTTTTGTCTGGTGTTTGTGGGTAATATGCTTCTTGAAAAATCTAGAAATCCTCTAGATGTTGATTTGTGATTATGTATCAATTTTAAGCAGTAAACAACAATTCCAATCAAACAATCAAGACAAATCGACACAACGATTTTACGTGGAAAAACCACAATTGGACATCTCCAATTGTGATAAAAAAACCACGAGCAACAACCACAAAACAATCCACTAAGAAGATATAAAGGAATTACACAGGTATACTCTCAATTACCTAGCGAATCCACGCCCGAATTGAACCAACCTCTATGTGTCTCTTCTAACCCCGTCTTCACCTCGGAATTGTCTTGACAATGAGCCACTCCGGAATCCACCAAATCTTCAAGCTCGAATTCTTCAGAATCCACCGAAGAACAACTCTTTCTTTTGTGTAGAACAAACAAATAATCCTTTGATGTATACTCTTTAAACCATGAATTGAATACTCAATCAAAACATCAAAGAAAACTAGCAAAATATCCCTAGATATAAACCCTAGAACCCAAAAAGAAGATCTGGAGAAGAAATCCTAGATTTGGACTAAAACACGTATTTATAGAAAACTGTCACGCGATCTCCGCTCAAGCGTCGGATTGGCCGCTCGAGCGGACTTACGCTCGAGCGCGGAAAGTTCCGCTCGAGAGGGAAAAAACATCTAGTATTTTTGCAGGCGAATCAACTTCTGAAACTCAGCATTCTCCGCTCGAGCGTGGGAATGTCCACTCGAGCGGACAGGCAATTTGGAATGCATTTTTGCATTTTGCTTCGGGGGCGTTGCCCCTCAACCCCGCCGTGGCGCTGCCCTGGACCCGCCAAGGGGCGCTGCCCCCTGGACCCCCGCGAGCTGACCGGGCAACTCGATCCCCGTCATAATCAGCGAAGTGGCAAGCTTGAAAATATTAACATCACAAACTTCTCTGCAAGGCACAATTCGGGTTGGATTCGCATACACTCATAGCCTCACTGAAATAAAAAGTACGAAAACAAATGCAACTTAAAGGAGTTTTGTCAAACGGGGTTGCCAAGAATAAAAACCTAACAATCTCCCCCTTTGGCAATGCCGTGACAAAACACACCTAACAAATAAAATCCTAAACACCCCAACCCTTACAGCCAATAAAAACAAACTTCTTTCTCAAGGTCATGATCTGCAAAACAACTATTAGTCCCACAAGAGTATATGAAAAAGCAATAGACATATGACACGATTATCTTGAAACATGAGATAGAAAACATGAATAGATGAAAACTAAGACTCATGAAAAACAACTCTCTAACAACAAAAGCAAGATCATAAATCACACAAGCAATGATATGACGATGTAAATTCCAGGAACATGCAAGAAGGAAATAATTAGCAAACAGTGTATAGCAACTTACAAAACAACTATAGCCAATCTCCCTTACCAAACAAATCAAAGTGTTCATGCTAACAAACTCTTGTAATGATAAACCAAACTTCCCTTCACTAAAAACAATGAACAAGAAGAAAAACGACAAAAAATAATATGGTGGAGCAAGCAGGGAATTTCAAATTTGTACCTTAAAACACACAAGATTATCCAAGAAGCACAATTACTAGTAAACACAATGTGCATAGTCTGTATAAGATTCCTCATGAAAAAAAGTGATGCATTATGTGAAAAGCATAGATCCCATGATAAAAGTGTGTGTGTGACTCTTGGAGTTCGACAAATACTAGATTCAATCCTAGTAGTGATATGAAAGCTGGACCTCCGACAAGAGAATCTAAGCACACCTAAGGAAAGTCAAACCACTAGGAATCAAGGGGTATTTAGTGAGTAAAGGCGGAGGCTCCCCCTCAATTAATGAATCCTTCTTTTTTTTTTTCTCATTTTTTCTTTTCTTTTCTTTTCTTTTGCATATTTTTTCTTCTTCTTCTTCTTCTTTTTCTTCTTTTTCTTTTTCTTTTGCACACTCATTGGCGGCTGACACGCTCAAGAGTATGGAAACCGAACCAGAGAAGCATGGATATAATAAGGATAGCCTGGTTGGTGACTCTGAGGTAGCTTTTTCCTCATGGCTGGACTACAAAGAATAAAGGGGAAAGCCGTGGAGATGCAAAAAGATGGAAGGTGGTTAAGAGACTCAACATCACTCAAGATATGCTAGTATCGGTCAATTCCTCTAGAAAAACAAAAGATACCATGCCAGAAGTCCATAGAAAAAAAAATCACTAAGGCGGAAGACTCCAATATTTGCAAACTTAAGAGTGTGTACAAAATGAGACATACTAATCAAAGAACACACACTCCAAAATGAGTAATGACCACAGAAAGCACACATATATTAACATGTAATGGAAATTCTCATCAATTCCAATATGCACCAAGGAATTCTAAAAAATTTCAAGCTTGCAAAACCATACTAAGAAAAACTTTTTGGATTTTTTTTTCTTTTCTAAAAAAAATAAGACAAAAAACGAGCATGCACACATTAAATGACTCAAAAGGAAAAAAAAACACAGAAACCCAAAAACTAAAACGACTAAACAAATTAACACAAGTCAAGTTTTCTCACCCAAACTGCTTTAGTATGAACAAGGTTATGAGAATGACGGTTCTTGGGTGGTGTCTTGATCTCGTGCATGAAGTGAAATTGTACAGGACTAATTGCCACTATAAGCATTTCTGAAAGGAATATATATTTTTGGATAGATGTATGTATGGAAAAGATTTGGGTGGACTAGTAGCTATATTTTTGGATAGACTAGTAGTTATATCTTTGGATGGATGTGTATGAAAAATATTTGGGTAGATTACTAGTGTGTATATTTTTTGATAGATGCGCATGGATAACAATTTAAAACATAATAACAAGTAATTGTTATGTTAGATGGATGTGACTTGGATGATTATATAGATTACAAGTGAATTTTTAATTGGAGGAATATGTAGTTTGAAATTACTTGTGGATGAAAACTTATAATAGTTGATGGCTTTCATTAAACAGGTTCAAGATTGGATGATTTATGTATTTTGTCGAATGTTTATGATTTAGTTGATTTGAATGATTCTTGCAAATTACATATTATATTGAATGGATTGGATGAATTATTATGAATTATAGGTTTATTTTGTTGGATGTTGGCGACCAAATTTTGAATTTGTTTTTTTGGTTTTGGCTACCAATTGATTAGTCGGGAAAGATAACTAATACTTTTGCCAACTAAATAAGGTAGGCGAGAGGGTACTTTTGGTGACTAAAGGATTTCGTCGGTAATAGGTCAATTGCCGACTACAGTTTTAATTGCGTAAACATTCCTTTTTGCGACTAACATGTTTGGTGGTGGAGGAATGTGACAATTAGCGACCAAACTTTTTGGTCACGGAATGTGACAATTGGCAACCAAAATTTTTGGTCGTGAAATGTGTCATTTGTCAAACAAATTTGCTGGTCGTGGAATGTATTGCCGACCAAACTTTTTGGTCGTGGAATGTGACAATTGGTGACCACATTTTTTGGTCGCCAAAATGGGCCACAATTGCCGACTAAAGTTTTTGGTCGTGGAAAATGAATTACAATTGCCGACCAAACTTTTTGGTCGTTGAATGTGCGAATTGGCGACTAACATGTTTGGTCGGGAAAATATAATTTTTTGCGACTAAAGTGTTTTAACTACTAAATGGATTAGTCGCAGTAATTATATAATTAGCGACCAAAAATTTAGTTGGCAAAAAGAACTTTTTCGCGACTAAAGTGTTTTAACTACTAAATGGATTAGTCGCAGTAATTATATATTTAGCGACCAAAAATTTAGTCGGCAAATATAACTTTTTCGCGACTAAAAATTTTTTTAGTCGCTAATTACTTTCCGCGACCCTCAATTGGCGACCAAAGTGGCGACCAAAAAATTAGTCGCGGATAACTTTTGCCGACTAAAAATGGACTTTTGCCGACCAAATTTTTAGTCGGCAAAAGTGTGAATTCTTGTAGTGTATATGTACGTCGACAAATGGTTATCTATGTACCACGACAGAAGGCGATTTCTGTACCACGGTAGTCATTATATGTTGATTGCCAAAAGTTTTCTGTACCAGTAATAGTGAACTACACAAAAGCTGACGACGACAAAAGCATTATATTAGTTCAATACAAAAGTGAAAATTCTTATCCATACACCAATATGGATTAATAGACAGGGGCGGAGCTAACAAGGGCTTGGGGGGTCACGTGCCCCCCCATGGGTTTTGGAATATATATATATATATATATTTTAAGCAAACATAAAGAAAATATTTTAAATAAAAAAATTTATAAAAATATTATTTTAAATGTCAATGATATTTTTAAAATAATAAGAATAATAATGGTTATTTTGATTGAAAATAAAGTGATTACGATATTATTATCTATGAAAATTCTAATATAATGGTGATATCTATCACTATTGACATGCAAACATAATTAGTC